ATGGCTTGAACCTTAGTCAGTGTTGGGGTAAATTCGACATTGATGTTTTCAGTTTGCAGGAGATTTGCTCGACTGCTTATACTGATTATTTGCATGCATGATTGTGTCGCTAAACCATCAATTAAACTGACAAGGTTTTGAGATATTTATTGAATGAGCAACTGATAGAGAAACATACTGTAATCATCTGTGATGGATGAAGATACCAAGAAAACAACACCATTTAATGGTAATTATAAGTCAATTTGTTGACCGATTTCGTTAATAGTTTTATTAATTTTATCAGTCATATTACGTGATTGTCAAGTTATGACAATGCTTTATGACGATATCCTGAAACTATTAAATTTAACTAGTTATAGTGTTGACTGAGGATTAGTCAGTGGAAAAATAGGTATTGTTGCTTTAGGTGATTCGAAATCATCAGAAACTTATAACGTTAAAGAATCCGAGACGCCTAATTTAATTATAAATTTCAATTCAGAAATATTCGTTTAGTGTTAATTTTAGTAGGCTACGGAGTTTTGATTTTAAACGTTTGTTTAGCCAACAGCTACTTGGGGATTTAGTTATTTTACTAGTGCAGTTGATAGTACCTAAATTTTTAATCTTATTATCTAAAGTATGTTCGCATTTTAGGCTGCTAATATGATAAACCAATCCATAAACCCAAATACGATTAGCAACAACGACTATGATGGGTTTATTGATAAATGTTAAAGGCGATTCAGATGATTTCTAAATTCAAAAGATATGAAGATATAGTGTAACGTATGTACGGGCCAGGTTAACATGCAGGTTGTTGACGTATATGACGATTTAAAAATAATGAACATGACCAGGAAAAGTAATTTTAAAGTCAAGACTGCTTATGAAACTTCAGACAGGAATGTAACGCGTTATAAACATTCCATAAGAAGTTACTGCATTTAGCCTAGGGACACTTACAAATATATGGCAAAAGCAACTGGAAAACATATACATGTTAAGTACAAAAAATCATCCAGTCAAATAGTTGAACTCGCCTGGATTATTTTTGAAAATTAGATTATTCAGTGGACGACATATACAACGCCATTCGTGAGGAGTAGAAATGATCCAAAATATCCAGAATTAAACATGCAGTATGGCAATCACTTCCAGGGTGCTTGATGCTGTTGAGGTTTTGGGACTCGCTCTGATCAGAACAACTGAATGAATCCAGATAATTGTGTGTGCCATTGAATGAGCCATCTAAAATGAACTTATGATTGCAGAAAACTTATAGCTGGAACTCACCGTATTTTTTTGAAGAAGTGTCATCCTTGTTGTTTGGCAATGGAACTCGAGAATATGAACTTAGGCAGGCAGTGGTCGGAAGAAAAGATATTACAGGATAGTGCGTAGTTTAAAACAGGATGAGGTGTTAAGTGAAGGAACACTAAGAATTAGATCCGGATAACTATTCAATCCTTGACTGCATTGTTAGTCAATGTATATTTACGCTATTTACAGGTCATATTTGCGGGAGCTTGATGTTTAAACAAGTCTATGTCGCTGAAGCATGTAAATGCTATTAAGGCTTGTTGACGAATCATCAAAGCTAATTAGTTTATATAGACGACCAGTTTTAATTATCGATTGAACTAGTATGTCATGAGGACTAATCAATATTACATTACGATAATACATGTGAGCATTAAACAGAGGATTATCAGAATACTGGGTTAACACAAATATAAAATCGATCGAGAAAGTTAAAAGTGAAAATAAGGATTAATAATAAGAGGTTGCGTTTCTTTAGTCGGGATTACCAATGTAGAACTATGGTCTACTATGATATTAGTACTGCTCTAAAAATAGACCTAATCCTAAAATTGTAGATTTGTCATGATATAACTGCCTAATCTATAAGATCTTACGTGGAAGTCACACCATCGACTACACCAACTCACTGTATCGTATCAATTACCAACACATGATGTAGAACAAGGTTAGGCTAGAGAAAGAACAATATATTTAATATGAATAGGAGATATAAGATAACATCCAGCAGGGACCACGCCTGCATGGCCGAGCCATGCCACTCGATCAACTCCAGTACATTCAATTCATTCTTCGCGCCTTCTCCATTGTTAGGTATTTATCCGCGTTAAATATTGAATATCTATTTTCTGAGTAGTCTCGTATTCAGCTTAGTGGATTGTGCGGTTATTGTTCAATGCCACTACACAACAACAAAAACTGTTTTGTGAGTTTTTTAGTACATTAAAATTTAGAATTGTCGGAATTTCCTGAGTGATACGTCATGGGATTTTTTCCGTTCAAACTTTCCGAAAATCGATAGATAGCAATAATATTTGCATAGTGATGCAGAAAATATAAATAGGTGGTGTGGGGTCAGTATTATAGATGTACATACGAGTATGACATCGTTGATTATGGACGAACAGCCACAACCTACGGACTATCAACCATGTGATTTTTCTTATTATCATGGATTTCCACTATGGAATCACTGTGGATGACAGCTTATTATTTTATTGAATAATGTTCTGTAATGATGTTTTCTATTTCGGGTCGCGAATCCTGGTTCTGATATAATGTGATCGGTTTTGCTAACGCAGCATCGCAAGATACGTGTGAGAGGAAAAAATACTGTAAACCATCCATTATATCAAATTCACGTTTCAAACAGGCGAGGAACGTGACTCCTGTTTCTTAAGGATAGTCTATTATGCGAATCAAGTAGTGAAAATCGAGGATACAGTCACTTGTTATGGCAAACACTGAAGTGTAAAACGATTATGCAAAAAAGTGAAGCAGTAGGCAACAACTCGAATGCCATAAAAAGCATATTGTAAATCATGAATTAGTAGCAAATATAACAAACCTACTTGTTGATATACTGAAACTGAAACGAACTATTTTGAAATTCAGACGACAGTAGAAGAAACTATACATTCAAAAGAAAAAGTCACAGGAGAAAGATACTTGAATGGACTTTCTAACATGGTCGTGCCAGAACTTACAAAGTGGAGTCCATAATCAACACTGAATAAAAACGCACAAATAATATTTTTTGATATGTACGATTGCCAGTTAAAACAATCTCTACTATTTTCAAACTATTGGACATGAGACGATCAAATAATTAATAATAAGTGATGATTGCTTGTCAAAAAGTAAACGGTGTTTCCATCACATAAGAAACAATATTCTATTTAAAAAACTGACATATCAATTTTCTTTCCTTCAAAAGTGAGCACTCAAACTCTGGGACAACAATCATACGAAAAATGAAGGAATCATGAAATTAATTACACATCAAAAACAACGCTTTGGTCAAATAGTGGATAAGCAATCAAAACATACCTGAGCAACCGTAGGATATTAACACAATTTAAAAACCTTTGCATATTGAACATCTTAGTAAGAATGAATTGAAACAGCCGTTAAACACCCTAAAACATGAAGTTAACCAGCCACAATGAAAGCGTTATGTTGTCTTGACTTTCAAAGAAATCATTCATTATTTGGTAAGTGACTATTTTATATACCATAATAGAACTCAATACATGCTATTCATCTGACTGAATAATCAATTGCAAGAATTTTATTTGCTATGCTATGTATCGGAACTATTTTCCAGTATGCTCTTTAGCTTTCCAATTTTTCCTCATTTCCACTTATAACAATCTTATGAGATGGATATTCTGATTATTCATCTGGGAATACTTTCAGGGTCCCTTCCAAACATATAAACATCTGGGTGGAATCCCATCTCCTCACACCATATATCTGTTGCTTATAAAAAGGCCTTCTAGCTGCCTCAACTACAGCCTCTATGGTTTATCGTTCCAGATGAATGCCAGATGACTAGGTTTAGCCATATGAAACACTGGTTGTTAGGTTGAAACTGGGTGAATTGTATTATAATTAATTTCACCGATGCTGTGTGCTTATAACTCCTCTTTTTACTATTAATTTTTTTCTCATTATTTTTTCGCCCTCCTTTTATTTAATTTTGTCTTATTATTTAACATATGTTTACTCGAGGTGACTTCATACTACATCACTATGACTCACACAACCAACTAAATTACTGTCTGATTAAGGAACAACTGAGAAACGAGAAGAAAAGATTGAGAAATGAATTAGAAAAATTGACGAAATTTCAGAAGATCAACAACCCATCAATAAGATCACTTGAGCCAAGTGACTGGATGAATTCTAATTATTTGGAACCTCAATCTAACAACTGAAACTTAGCGTAAGTAAGCATAGCTCCTCCAACAGATATTAAAGATGATTAACAATGAACAGAGACCAATGTTTCGGAACAATGTACTTTGCAATGCCCTTCTTGGACCAGCTATGTCCGATGCATGTCTCATATATTACCGTGGTTATCGTTATCGCATAATCAGTAACCATTTCGTGTCTCTCTGGTTATCATTTCAGTTCCCCTTTCATTCTTTCGGTTCTTTCTTCATACACATTATCAGTTAAGTAAATTAATTATTTATTTCTGAAACAATGATCTGTTGTCACACGAGTTCGTGGATGCGCACTGCTGAGGAGTCCCATACCAGGACGAAACGGCCGTCCAGTGCTTCCAGGTTTTCAATGGTGGTCTAGCTTCAACTGACTCATGATTTCAATCTGTGAAAGTTATCACTTAATTATTTTCACATTGTGACAAACAAACCTCTCACCCGGTAGTATGATAGATGTTGGTATCCAGAATCCCTACTTCCCTGAGACAAATGCACACACTCAACTGCAAGACATACGAATCATAAACAATTACCTCAGTGACTAGAATTAGTACAGTCAAGTGGCTAGACTGCCATTCATTGAACCTAACCAAATGCCTGTAACTATACCAAGAACAGCGAAATGATCAGTTGGTTTATACAGAATTATGACAAAAATATTGGACATGGGGTTATGGAAATTTATAAACTGTTTTAATTAGCCACTTACCTTATGTTGTCATGATTAACAGCGTCTGTTTTAATAGCGTGGATTTCAGTTTGATGTGTTGTTTCCGATACGGGTAATGTGTATGTTGATTAATTTGCCTGAATTTTAAATGCAAAGACAAGTAACACGTACTATTTATTCAATACACTGAGCAGTGTTGTTGCTTTTTGCCTGAATATTAAAAAAATATAGCTCCTCATTGAAAAATCCACCGTATTTCAAATTTCTAGGCTACAAGTTGTTTGTATAAAGGGCTCTGTCGCTAGATAATGGTGAGACTATAAACCGTCAGGCGTTTACTCATAAGCAGGACCACCATCAAAATGGACGAGTTTATACAAGCCACCCAGCCAATAATATTATGCATGTGGCACAAAAATGCGACAAGTTCTTCTTGATGGTCCACTTTAAAAAATTTTTATATTAGTAAAAAACTCTAACCATAATTTGTGGACTAACCGATCAGATTTACGATAATAGGTCTTAGATTTTGCCCAAATAGAGACGTGGCATTATAGCTGATCTCAGTTCGTGATGAAAACCCTAAATCAAATTCTTCACCCTAATCATCAACTGTAAATCATAATCCTTATTCTTGAAACTGCTTTATAACCCTCAATTAGCTCAAGTAAGTTGTTAGACACTCTGAAGGTCATTTTAGCGTCTCTCAAATGTCGTCTCACAGACTTTTTTCCATTTATTTTTTATCCTAAAATAAAGCACAGATGTCTCAACAAAGTGGATACTATAAAATGAAAAGTCAAGTCAAGAATAGTTTTGACTTGAAACCAAAAAGAACTCGTCAGAAAATTCAGCACAAAACGCACAACATTAATAATCCTCCTGGGAAAGGTCATTTGAAAGAACAAACAAACAGCAAAGTTGACAAACATCATAATGGATATCAACTTACACAAAATATTGATCCAATACAAAAATCAGAAGAAAATCTTGTTAAAGATAATAAAGTGTCAATGATTTTCTCAAGTGAAAGTTCACCAGTTCCTGACGTATCATATTTAAGGAATTTTGTATCATTTAATTCTCAGTCTAACCGAAACATTCACTATGCATTCAAGGGATCCTCTAAAGAGGTCAAAGTAAATCATTCAGGAGAAAACGGCTTTCAGTCCAATCATACAAAAAATAATGTGCTTCCACTTGTCGAACGCAAGTTAGATATGGAAAAGCGTTTTGTTGATGATCAAAATTATAAGTTAAAAGAAAGTGGTGGCGTTTGCTTAGATCAATCATTTACTACAGAAATCCACCCTATTGAGGAATCAGACAATGATTATTCTAGTGATTTTAGTGACGAATGTTCTTCTATTTCATCTATCTTATCGTCCAAGACTCAGGAACTACTTTCTGTGGACAGACCAAACAATCATAAAGAAATGACCGGAATTTGTGAGTCAGTTTTAACGACCCGGACTTCTGGTTTTACTGTGCCAGTTAAGGTAATCGGCAATACTAACGATGGGATGGACATGAAGGTTATAGACTTCGAACAGTCAAACAGACTACCAAGTCATCATTATATTTCTTCAAATGTAAGGTGTAGAGCAAAAGACTTATTGAAATTGGTTTGTTTATCTTTAAATGAGTTTACCAATGTATTCGAGTTGAAACCAATAGATGGTTATGGATTTTATATACTACATTCAAATAAATGTAAAAATTGGAATCATTGTTATGTTCAAACAAATGATGATGCATTTCATAGAGAAGTACAAACTGAACCAATTGATATCTCTCATGATGTATGGACTCAACAACCATCCGATGAGAATGGCGAATTTTGTGGAAGGGTTGGTAGCAACAGTAAGTTTTGGAATCTTCTTCACTTATCAACAAATAGATTTATATTTCAATTTAGTCGAACGAAGTATAAACTAGGTTGAAGAGATCAAACAATCGATTATTATATATATCGAAACATTGGTTAAATTTAGTTGTCCATTGGTTTGGACGTCTACGTCTAATTAAGGTCGGTCAACTTCCCAATAGTCTAACCAGACTTAATAACGGGCCCTTAAGATTCTGGGTTTTAGCTCAGTAGTATTACATGGATGATATTTTTCACAGGTTTAAAGATGTATTTCTTTAAAGAGGGGAGAAAGAATGAGGCTTAGATCACAACTTTTAGCATTTTATTTCAAAATCTGAAAGTCGTAAACCCAGACTAAGGTTGTATAAGTTATTTCCATAATTCAATGAGAGCGCACGCGTGGTGTGTGCTACTAATGTCGACAAACGGAAGTGGTATGCATCATCAATCGAAAGCGAGGTGTTTGACTGCTGAAGGTTAAGAAGATTGAAGAAAAGAGAAAGAGAACAAAGATTGACTGGTGTGGAAACGAAGGAACAATAAAGTATGAGACAATTGATTGACGTTTTGCAAATGAAGTGTTTACTGTATGGTTCTCAGATATTACTAAGAGATTCTGTAGTCTGTGTTCAAATGCATTTGGTTGTACCAACTAGTGTCCTCGTTCACTGCACATGCTCGTACTTTAGAAAATGAGTTAAAATTTAGCAACTGTAAATTGTGAATGAGGGTGAGTTAAGTTTTTACTGATTCCAAAGAATAAATCACGAAACATACTGAGTGATAACGTGGTATTAGATGTGAACTTGTTGGAGAAATTTATTTAACCTATAGATCATATCAAAGATAACATCAGGTCAGTATCTGTGTACTTTTCGTTGACACAGTGAGACTGATATCTCATTAATTTACCCAGTTGTGACTTTAAAAAATATTTTTAGTTTTTTGATCACTTTCTGTGACTTTCCGTCGTTCTGGAAGATAGCTTCATAAATAGTTTATTACTTGGCTTTTCCATTGTTTTTTTCTACTTTATCATCTTCGCATAGCTCCCAGTGATGATAGGTGATTTTTTGTGCTAAAACTTTTGAGTATTTCATCTTGGTTTTTGGCATGTGAAACGTTTTGATAAATCATCATTGCTATTCGTACCGTACTTAAATCATGATTGATAAAACACCACCAAAAAACGGCATAAGTCTAGTTCAGGAGTAAAAGAATGTCAAAAATAAACAGTTACATGTTACAACGTAAAACCAGGCACATATATGCGTCTGTCCAAGTTGCCACACATCATTAGCATAACAATATGAACACCGAATTCATAGAAGTAGTCACTTCAATGGTAGTAATGTATAAAAGACTGTGTATAAGGATGCAGCACAGGAAGAAAGAATAAAATGGTAGAAAGAAAGACATAGTGCAGTTTTAATTTCACGGTTCAAGGAAAGAAAGATGCCATTGTGATCGATTCTAAGCTATGTCACACAGAGTCTCCAACCACTTTTTACGATAGTCACGTGGACTTCAACCAAGTAGTCTGCATCTACCAACATGGCTTAGATTAGAGGCTAGTAACTTCAAGGACTGATGCCACTCTTTGGTTTTGCCGTCCCTAACCTTCTTCCATCTGTCTCCGACACTAGTTAGCATTGCATGCCGTGGTAATCGGTGGTCGAGCATACATAATACGTGGCCAAACCATCTCAGTCGGTGAAGATTTACCATCATTCCCTAATACACTGTGTCTAACCTCACTATTACTTACGCGGTGATCCCAGCAGATGCGAGCAATATTTTTAAGACACCTGTGGTCAAATACTAGCAACTTACGCGTATCTTCTACTCCTAATGGCTACGTTTCACACCCGTAAAGTAGAACAGAACGAACTGCTGCGTAGTATACTCATCCTTTAATTGATAGACAGACATCTCGCCTTTGTCATAGGTGACTTAAGTTGGCAAAAACCAAACGAGCTTTTTGAATCCGTGCAGAGATTTCGTCAGACACCAACCCATTAGGGCTGATTAGATTTGCAAGATAAGTGGAGTTGCCGGCGTGTTCGACTACTTCACTCTCTATCCCTAGGTCAGGCGCTGAAGCAGATCAGTCCTGATGCAACAACTTGCATTTAGAAGAGAAGAAACGCATTCCAAACATTCTGGGATTGCTGATCAGTGCTGTCAAAAGACTCTGGATTTTATCAGCGTCTTTGCCAAACAGGACTATGTCATCTGCGTATTCTAAGTCGATAAGTGGACCTCCTGAACGGAGATCGATTCCTGAAAATTTAGACGACAAGAACGTTATTTCCAGCAGTAAGTCTACGATTAAATTGAACAAGAATGGGGATAGTGGTCAGTCTTGTCAGACACCACTTGGGGTTGCGAGACCAGATGACAGTTCGCCATAAGCTCTGACTCGACTGGTAGTGTTCGAGTAAAGAGCCTCCACAAGGTTTATGTACTTCTGAGGCACGCCTTTCAATGACAGACACTGCCACAGAATTTCTCGGTCTACAGAGTCAAATGCTGTTTTCAAGTCAAGAAAAACTATCATTGTAGGACGCTGATAAGCATGCTTGTATTCTAGAACCTGACGAATGATGAATATGTGGCCGATGCAGCCACGATCAGGTCTGAAGCCAGCAGTTCACGAGTATTAAATAGGCTCCCGATAAATATTGAGGCTAGTATTTTTGATGCTATATAATCCCTCTGTGCCTATCACAGGATGATTTTGACCCCTTCTTATATAGTGAATCAACTAGTGATTGCGACCAGTAAGATGGGATCGCGTCCCTCTCTCAGATTCGAGCTAAAATATTATTTAGTCTAATCGCCAAAACTGGACCACCCTCCCTAAAGACCTCTGAATCCAATTCATCTGGACCAGCTGCTCTTCCTCGCTTCAGATTAGCTATAGCTTTTTGAACTCCAGTTATAGTCGGGGGATTACTTCAATGTTCCATTCAGGCTGCTTGGGAATGGTGAGTAGATGTAAAGTAGCTGAAGGCCAGCTGAACTGTTCTCTGGAATGTTCCGCCCATCGTTCTAAACGTCTGGACTGAGAGCAGATGAGGGTGTCGTCTTTTTCCGAAACAGTCTGACTTACACTTGACTTATTAATTCCAGTTTCTTTTATTAGTCTGTAGATCTGTCTTGTATTACCTACAGCCGCCGCCTTTTCCATCTCTATTTGCTTTCGTTGCCCACCACCGCTGACGGTAGTCCCTTTGACTGTTGGTTAATCTAGATCTGATCTACTTTCGCTCTTCATCGTGTTCAGATCATGATGGGATGAGTTTACGAGAATCCATTAGTGCAATAGACTTAGAAGAAATCCATTGGTGTTTTGTAACCCTTTGATTTAAATCACTGTCAGATGTCACTGCTATTTCCATGGCTATTTGTATATCTTTCCAAGCAATATCTGAGTCAGCCTAGTTTTCAAAATTACCTAGGTGTGACTTCAGTTGTTCCTGGAATTTACTTTTGGCTTCCTTGTAGTTGAGTTCAACTTTAATGAGTCTTAATGTGGTTTATCTGCGTCGAAAGAGGAGCAAACAAATGTGTACTCGCATTTGAGCATGATCAGAGTCTAAACATATATTTCGGAACGAGTGGCAGTCTTCTATCGAGCCTCTCCAACGACGAATGATGGCAATATGGTCTCTGAGTTCATCGCTGGTTTGGCGCAGGGGTCACCATGTTAGGTGATGTGTCTCATTATGCTTGACACTAGTTCTTGCTAAAAATAAACGATTGTCTGAGCACAGTTACAGTAGACAATCATCATTATTTGTTCGCTGAGCTGGTATACTAAAATACCCAACTAAATGTCTTTTTGTTTGGTTTAAGCTACCTACCTGGGCATTAAAGTCACCTTTTACGAGTACTATGTCCAAATGTTTAGCTTTCTAGAGAAGTTCAGAAATCTTTCTGTAAAATTCATCTTTCACTTCATCCGGGCTGCAGTCAGTGGGAGTGTAGGCAGAAACGACAAAAAGGCAACGACGTGTGTTCCTGTCCCTCAGAGTTCTTACGGAACCGTTTAGCTGAAGAGTACATAGGCGACTGTTAACGGGGATCCAATCTAATAGTGCTTGTTCTGCCCTCGTACTGAGTGCTACGCCTACACCTTCCCGTCCACAAGAACTAGCCATTGGGTCACCAAATAATCAGAGGGTGTATCTCGTCGATTCTCCATTTTGCCGAGGTGAGGTCAAGTAAACAACCACACTAGGATCCTTTATGCGTGTTTCGGAGACACAGCATGTATCAATGGTACGAGATTCTACGGTTTTAGTCAAGGAGGCCTATTGACAGATTCGACATAGGTTGCGTACGTCGGAGGCTCCAATGTGTAGTTTGGAGCGAGGTCTCAGTAGACCTGGGACAGTGTTTGCTCACTAGAGTCGTTGGCTATGGTGATACTTGAAGAGGAAGCCAAAAGATGAAGTATAGGGTTGATAGCTGAGGTAGAAGTAATTATGGAAACTGAAGAGGGAAATTGATTATGAATACAGCGGTCTTGATTGCTGTTAAAGGTATGAGGGCGGTTATCACTTCTCGGATGCCCAAACCTTGGAAGAATTCTTGTAGAGATGCCTGCAAAGGAAACCGGGTTGGAGTTGGTCTTAGTGACGTGAGAACGTGACCGCAGTGCCCAGGGGACAACTGCTTGAGGCAGGTCACACATGACATTTTTGTGGGTAATTTTCGTGTTAGCTCTGTACTTGTCGAGACCTTACCGCCGGAGACGGACAAGGCGAGGTGTGCATTTTTCGGGTCAACCTTTTCTAACCCCACCCCTCCTTGTGGGAAGACATCATCGCTGATATGCTGGTTGTCTGAAGGAAATAGCTTACTGCCGTCACACCTCTGTGCAGTTAGCACTACGACTTCGCCTTCGGACCTTGGGTTTGCTGCTCTTAGTCTTACCGTTCTTCAACCGACCTTTCTGGCATTGTTGGACGCTGAGGAATGATTGTTCCGGCCAGTATGGCCTGATCGCTTCATCACGATAGACAAGCCCAACCACCACGTCAAGGTAGCAGCAATGGTCGGGTATATTCGAAAGTCAGTCCTGATGATGGGTTTCAAAATAAAACTTTACTTCAGGTTTCGGTGGGTCTTTAAATAATGCCATTTCAGAACGTGGACTTTACATCAATTGAGTCATAAAGACTTTTAAGTTGATTAAATTAAATGTTCTTATAGTCACAGTTTTCAAAATCAATATTCCTAATATCTTAGTACCTCATAGAGTTGTTCAAAATAACGTTTTCAAATAATAGTTTTCCTGAGTGGAAACAATATGTTAACGAGTTATTTGATCACAAAGTGAGGATTATTATTACCCTGTGTGAGTCATTCATCGTTATTGTTAAAGCGAGTTATATTGATATTATATTTTATCTATTTCAAGGAGTGGTCCATTAAGTCAACAAGAACACATATTCGAATACCATTTAACTTATTTCTATGAGGTCAGTTTTAAGGTGTATTTAGATTGTTTGGTAAGGTCAGATTAAAACGTTAACCAAAAATCGGAGTTGCTTATCAAATTATTTTTGTATATGTTACTGTTATCACAGTCTAGTTATGATAACAATATCTCATTTCATTATCCCGAAGTTATTTAGTTTCCTTGTGCAAACATTACCATGAACTTACATCTGTAAATTAGTCGAAAACAAAAATTACAGTTTTTTCTAAAATTTAATGAATGCTTCATGAGCAGTGTAAACTGAGATATTCAGCCATTTACTAAACAGTTTACCCATACAAGCTTTTAATTGTAGAGCTACCGTACCACGTGTTATGATACTTTTTGACTTGCTTATATTAGAACTGCTAGTTAATATCCTTAGCCTTTACAATATTTGTAAAATAAAGATCAGTACGCGAATCTGCTATTCAGATATTAGGTCTCGTCAGTATATTTAATCTACTTACTGTTAAATATGCAATTAAAAGATTCCTGAATTATACAAAACTTATTATTGGAATATTTTTTATGTTTTATTCCAAAAATACTTATTTAGATAATTCTCATATAAATGGTTCCTCTAATTTATCTTATTCTAATGATTTCACTCATGTTTCATCCAAGGCAATTCTACATGAATTAGCTAAAGAATTTTGCCTGGGAGTTAACACTTATAATACTACTGTAAATGATGAAATTGAGCATGTTACTAATACTTTCTCAATAAACGAATTCAATACACCTGAAAATTCCACCTCCATGATGAATCCCAATCATCGATTACCTGATAGTCTATTAGAAAATCTTCAATTAATGTTGAATTTAATCAATGAAGAAACTTTAGCAAATTTATCGTATTTATCCAAGGAGAGTATCACAGATCAAAATGATTTGCAGTCGACTGAAAATGATTTTGTAGAGATATTTTTTCAGTTGAAAGATGACTGTTTTTCAGTAGAATCTAAATTTGGCCGTGGTTATAATGACATTCAAAATAAGGAGTTGCAAAATACGCCATCTAAAAATAACGTTACCACAGTTGATGCAAATGAAATAAGTAAACTTCAAAGCTTCTCCTACTTTTGGGGAAATTATGAATGTGTTGCGTGTGATTGTGCACCACAAAACCAAACAGTAATTTTAACCATTCATCGACCAGTTAGGGTGAGTATTTTTCTAATGTTATTTTAATATCAAATCCCCTTGTACTGTCTTGTTCTTCTGTACCATTGAAATTTGTGTAAATTTAATTTGGTAACTTATTTATTCTTTGAAGAAGGTACAAAATATCAGAATTTCAATTTTCTACTCATTGAGATATAACAAACACATTATTTTATTATCGTAAATAAACATGATGTCATTCAATGAATAGAAAATGCATTGGCTTAAGAATAAGGGAACTCGTCATTTCACTGTAAGGGAATTATCATTAAAACACCAGGAACTGTTTTCAAGGCTTTGGACTTTGTAGAAATCCCCGGTAGGGCGAAAATTGTTAAAGGTTCTTAAGTAAGAAGGAAATATTTGTCCAGTGGCTGCCTGGTTTTAGAGCTTGTATTATCAACTGCTTTAATATTTACCACCCACAAATATTCTATTGTCAAGAAAAGTTTTAGGACATATCTGTTTATGATTATTTTAAATTGTCCTGTCATAATTTTACTTCAAAATCCTTAATTTTGTCTGAGATACACAGTTAGATTCTCCCAGATTGAAGTTCACAGTAGAAAATCGTCGATAGTGTGATAAAAGCAGTACTATGTAAGTATCGGTATTTTGAAAAGCTTTGATGTATGGCAAGTAGAAATTATTTTAGTTTAATGATTTAGAAATTATTAAAGAATTTCGGATTTATATATTTCTGTTAGTCATGTTACATACAAGCCAAAAGGTTTCATCATTTAAGTTGATGTTATTTTATAGCAACTAAGGTTGACAAACTTTTAAATAGTATTTCAACAAATTATTATTTTGTGTTTCAGCTAGTAGGATAATAAAAGGCTATATTTTAACCTATTTGACAGTCCAGTAATTAAAAATTATCATTTTATTTAGAATGGAGGTTCGGTTTCTCAATTTTTTGTTTTCTGATGATAACTTATATTTTAGCAAGTACGTATTTAAATGATTTATATGATATGCCGGGAAGTCGCACAGAAATTTGGTTATTTGAATAATTTCTTAAATTTAAAAACATTTAAAATAACTTTGACTGCATGGTTCCATGAACATAGAGGGATAAATGAATCCTTACTACTTAACACTATCTATGAAATTAAAGAGATGCAATTCTATTTTGAGCGGTTAATTCATTAAGCACAATTATAGTTTGCTTTTACTACTCTTACTAGATGTAATTGTAAGATGGGCAATATATACTGAGCCTAGATTGGCTGAGGTAGATAAGGGATCCGCTATGGACTCCAAGTGTCTATCCACCACAAAACGAAATGCTGGTAGTATTTTAACCACATTTCACAGTTCATAATGTCACTTAATGTTGACTAGGGAGATCATAAGGTCTTGCCCCAGACAGAAATTAACGACTCTTAAATCTTCGTAACATGGTTCGAAAACGACCACAATTAGAGAGAGGCATTCCTCTCATACGTTCTTCAAAAAACCGAACATCTTCATTTTCCTTGCACTTCAACATATTTTCTCGTTTATAGTAAAATTACTCTATTTTCATCTCATTTTCGTTTCCTTTTTGTTACAAAATGCAGCAGCTTGTACAAGTCCAGTTGTTGGACCTTTATTTCTTTATGAGTGCTTTTTAATCAAGGTGCTTGATACTGATATTTTAATATGCAGTTTGTACATTTTATAATATAGCACAACATTTTGTAAGGATTAAGTTCAGTTGAAGTGTTGGATAAACAGAAAAACAGATCAGTTTTGGTTATATGTACAACTGTGCAAAATCTACATATAAAAGCACCTGAATGCATTTTACTGCTGGCTATCCACGAGATACAGGACGTTTGTTCTATCAATTTTAAAATTCATGATTTGGAGGTGCATATCACAGCAAATGTCTCTATCCCCTTCAAAAATAGAACAGATTACCCGCCGTTTGAAACACCAGAGTGTCACACGTCAGACTGTGGATTTATAATAACCACCCTTTATTTAAAAAATACTAGTTATTATATAAACAATTGTATTTTCGAAGTATATTAGCTTCCGCAGTTCAGATAATACCGAAATCAGGAAATAAAAGACTCTCAGAATAACATGTGGGTGAACACTAAGGGATTATATATAAAAAAATGATTGTCGCCCTGTGTAATTTGCTTGATGATGACATAAAAAAGTAAGACTAAAGGACGGCCTGCTTGAGCATCTGGGCTACCTGTTCCTACCATCTAGATATTTCAACAAGTTATTTATTTTGTTTGTTTTAATGTATCATTATGTTTATTAATCGCATAACCTATTCTGCTGCGTTTCTGAAAAGTGTACAACCTTTCGTTGTCAAAGTTACAAAAAACTCAATAAGATGCAATGCGGTTGCTGTCAATATACAGCGAAAAGAATGCACATTATTCAGATGTTCATTTACTGAACTGCTAACATCTAACTGGCGATCACTCAATATTTATCGCCAGGACCGACCAAGAAGAAAGAAACGAAAACTTGTTGAAATACTTTGCGCTGAGAATTCTATATTGTACCAAAAATATAATATTGGATAAAGCTAATAATAATAATAATAATAATAATAATAATAATAATAATAATAATAATAGACTTCAAAAGGTTTCGTTTGAATTCTGTTAGTTCGACAATAACTTGTAGAAATTACCTAATTTTCTTTTGATGATTTACTCTGACTACTCAAACTAATTTTAAGTAGACAAAAACGCTCGATAGATATTTCACGTACAAAGGTTTGTGTTCTTTGTTTAGTTATTCAAATGATATAGCTATATATGAATTGTTAACTGTTAAGTAATGAAGTCGTAAAAAGTTCAGCGATTCAGTTTTCAGAAAATTAGGTGTTAATCGGAGTCTTTTTGCCACCTTAGGGTTTGATTCAAGAGTTTAACGTTCGGATTATGGAATATTCGTTTTTCAGAATTTTAGCCTATTTATTAATGATTAAGAAACGGATCTTTCGTTGTTCACTGGAAGGCAGCATTTACTAAATCATAAAAGAAGTAAAAAGGAGAGTTCGGATTCGAAAGTAATGGTCTATTTGTTCTTAACATGATCAGATTAAGAAACTGATTAGTATGTGCTACAAAAATGTCTGAACTTAATATGGTGAGTGATCGTTGAATTTTAACTGAACTAGCTTTTTTTCTCAGATATTAAAATTGTCTGTAATGATCCTATACAAATAGTGGGAAAGTGACTAGTTACCTTTGAAAAAGTATTATAGTAACTACCAAAATCAATAGATTTACCAAAATATTATGCCTTATATTTATAGCTAAAAGCAAATTAACGGTTAGTCACCTAATTCATATCAAATATTTCACCTTGGCATAAACTTCTGGTGATTAGTTTTGGTTATATGTTAGTGCTTTTTTAGCAGAGAAACCAGTTTTGGGACCGCTTTTTCTGTGTAATGTTACTTGCTCCTTTGAAAGTAATGATAATTCACCTATTTATTACATTTCGTTAGTGCACATCATACAACAAATAAGTTCATTGTTTTTGCTCTATAATGAGAAGAACATATGTCGGATCATTTGCTAGTTATATGACTAACAATGACAGGCGTGTACGGATTAATAAGTTCTTAAAACTTAAGTTTTATGATGAAATTGATGAAGTCGGAGAAAGATTGTCAAGACATAATTGTAGATAGTTCACCTTTACACACTGAAATAAGTCTGTAAATCACACTAGTGATTTATACACACGCTTAGAAACAATTTACATCTGTTAGTTTTCTTATTCACTTTTAATTAACAATAAAAAAGTAGATTATTGTAACACCTTTAAATAAGCTAAGTTATTTTGAATTTGGCTCATAGGTCAAAAATATCGCATTGATTTAAAATGCTTTTATATCTACTTTTTCTGCTTGTAATTAGCTTAATCAAGAACAAGAAGAAATAAAGAGTCTTTTTAATTATAGCAGAAGTGCTGGTGAATTTATATGTATATGGACAGAAATTGGTGTGAAACTATTGCCTGACCGTCTACTTTATTGTCCAGGCTTATCAGAAACTGGTCTAAAAGGCGCCAATTTAAATTGTGCAGTATTTAGTCCAGATGATGATGCAAATTTGGTAAGTAAATCAATTAGTGAAAAAAGAAGCAATCAAGGTTTTTTCCGGTTTCTTGATTCTTAAACAAAAATGTGTGTAATTTTATGGAAATTCTGAAATAATTTTTGATTTATTACTTAAGATAACAACATGCGTTTATAAATATCAATGCCAGGGTTGAACTTGACAGTTTCAAATGAATTGAGCATTGGGTAAAAAGTTAATGGTAAATATATTTTTGTTATATCCAGATGAGTAGAAGAGTTGTACTTCTGACGTTTTGTGATTTAATGTAAGCCACTTCTTCAGAGTAAAAAAGTAACCGAAATTAAATCAACACAAGTTTATATAGTACAAAGGAAACAATGTAGGATCTGCATTCGATGTAAAGATTTCAGTTTCCACTACTGTGACTATATCAAACAAATCTATTCCCAAAGTTTCAATTTCTCTCTGGATTCACATGAATAAAATTAAAGAACTCGAAGACATTACATCTTAATGCGTGTCATTATTGTAAATTATTTAGGGATGATGTCAACATTTTCAAACTAAAACAACTACCTGGTATATCATGTATGAAATTGAAACATTTCAAAGTAACAGTAACTATAAAACAAGATAAACGCTGATCAATGGAATAAATTGGTTCGAGTACAAGAAAAATTCACTGTTTATTTCATCAAAAATCCTGAATCTCTTTTTATACTTTATGTGTATTCACTGTGCTTGTTTGATCGTTTCTATTATATATATCTTTTGTAACGTTACCAGTTAGATTATTTTGATTTAGCCCACTTTTACGTAAGAATCTACACTACTAGATTTGTCCATTTATTTTTTTAAAACCAGTTTTATAATGTTTAATAGGTTTCTGTAACTGTCTATTGAGGTATTATAAATTATCAAACAAATCACACGTAATCTGTTTATATTTTTCCCATGATCAAAATCATGCTTATTTGTAATATTCTTGTCTCATAATTAATATATTACAAAAGGAAACAGTATCATAAATGGTAAAACATTAAATATAAATGGTTAACTGTATATTAGATTATTTCCAATAAGGTGAATAATACAACTGTTGTTTATCATTTCATGAATAATAATTTAGTTTTATGTTACATTTTATTACAGTATAACCCAGTATTTATTTCATATATATGTTTGTTAAATAATTGAATAACCTGAAGTAACTGAAAACCAGCACAAGTAAAACAATTCACCTATGATGTATCTCATTGATTTTTCTTTCATTTTTAACAGAAATTATTCAGAAAAACTATTTGATAATGCATAAAGCTCTTATTTACTAAACATAATAGTGATGTAGCTGATTAGATTTACACATTGGTAATAAAAACAACCTTGTAGTTTGAAGCCTACAACCGTATTCAAAGGTTTACACCTATTCATCAAGCAGTGAAACAATAAATATTGATACTTATAGACAACAAGTTGTTTAGTATGTGCTTTTTATCATTCCTATGATTTATCAATCGGATGCAACAAATTCTTACTCAATGTAAGTGTTCTGAAGTACAGGTTCTCGCTAACAGTCACCATTAAACTTGTAAACTATTTGCAGTGATATTTAAGGGATTGGATGATCGCTTCAGATTGATAGCACTACTCAACCAGGGTAGCTAAATGAATCACTAACTAAAAGAAATAATCTTTCACAAGAAATCGTAAAACCATTAAGTGAGATTTAAATCCATCTTTTTGACAACTTAAACCATATATCTTACTATCAAAGAATAACTACAGTGCATAACAATCCACTCTCCATTACTTTCTGAACTTTGAAGAGAGAGAAAATTCAAATTTTACTGGTAATCGACCAAAGATGTCTTTTAAAGTATTCCATGTATATGATGAAATTACTGAGTAATGTTTTTCTAACTGTTAAGTAATCAGTCATCTTTATGTGTTACAGATTTACAACACAATTTGCATTACATTTTTACGGGTAATCTATTTATTTAGTTACTATTATCCATTCTGTGTTATAAAGTCAGATTTCTCCATTATATTTATTTTATTTATAGTATTATTTGGAATTACTGGCTTAAAAAAATGGTATATTGAAATCAATACTCATTCTTTTCTTTTTTTGTAAGTAGAACAAGAAATTTATAATTCGTATGTGTTGATGTTCATTTAGTGGCATAGTTTATGAGAAAAAACACAAAATCATAAGACCAGACAGTTAATTTTGATGTGAAATTGATCTTTTGTTTTGCATACAGTAAGTAAACTAATTACTATTATTTTTTGTTGTTGTTACTTTCGGAATTTAACAAAACAACAAGGTTTCAATGATTCAAATGTTTTCTGTCAATAAACAATAATAGAGTTCTATGTACTGACATACATTCTACTAGGTATAATTTGTAAATTCATTCAAAGGTCTACTATGTACCATCCGTTTATTTGCTGATTTCGACTGTTTCAGTCATAGTCATTATTTTACATTCATATAATCAATCTTTTACAATCGATTGATCACTGGGTAGTGACCAATGTCATGTATGTCAGGTCCTTCTGAATGTAGATCAAATTCTATCGACTAAGTTGGAATATGGTCACTAGTCTAGGTAACTCAACATCGCGTGCCTTATGTGGAGATGTAAGGTAGTGACTAGAGGTAGTCGACAGGAAACCCCGGATCTAGGTTTCAGTCTATTCGGCACTCGTCAACAAGGTTACTTATAATCTTGAAGGAACTGATGCTGCTTGACCAATTACGTCCCGTGTCATCCAGCTTCATCACCAGTGACATTAACATTCAGCTATCCGGGCCGTAACTGACCTCCTGTAGGAATGGGATTGAAGTTTTCCTATAACCAAAGCAGTTTTATCACAGTAAGTCAGTGTTCTTTTTATGTCACTGCAAATCAAATCTGGGAAGGATTGTATATAGTTATGAAATATAAAGTAAACAAAAGCTTCAGAATACTCTTTATACATCTGTGAGACGGGTGATGCTTAAACTCTGGATCTTTAGTCAATATTGTTAAAAGTTATAGTTATAGTCGTTCATCTTTGTAGAGGCTGTTTCTACTGGTTATTTTTTAAGTAACTTACCTAGTTCTGTTTTCTATATAACTGTTTTGAGTGTTGTGCCCAATGCATAACCCCAGTTCCTCGTTGATGCAATACCCTCAGTCTGATAATTTAGCCAGGTTCTAGTCTCGTTTTCCATAACCTTTATTTTGAACCTCACGTTTTGTTACTATACAGAGCTAAGTTTTCTTTAGATAAATATCTAATTATTTTAAACGAGAAGTGTAATTGTTTTCCACTGTTTCTATCTCGTACATTCACTGATTCCATGTCTCAATGAATTTTATGCCCAACTTTAACAGTATCGTTTGTCAGTCGTTTGCTTTGAATACTATCATTTCATTTAACTACAGAGTTAGCAGTTAGTGAGAGGCCCTGAAATAAGGATCATTTATTTTGTTTTCAATGTTTAGACTTGTTGAAAAACAGATATTTCAACTTTCACTGGTTTGAGATATCCATTTTAAATTATTCGCATATGACTTAGGAGATGTATAAATGATATGCAGATAATATATTGTTTGTAAATAGGAATAGTCAAAGATAATTCAGAATCACGTTGGTCTTAGTACGAATAGCTCACTTTTAGTGTGTTATGTTTCAGATATGACAGAAATAAGTTTAAACCTCTAAGTAAACACAATGTTTAGTAAAGTTGAAGATACATGGCCACCTATACAAATGTGTAGGCCAATTATTTTCTAACCGTTCAAATATTACAATTAAACAACCTGATTTGGAGTTGCTTAAACTGAATAGTTACGAATGCTAATCGTACTGTATTCATCCACTATTATAAAAAGGTTACACATTATCGAGATACCAAATACTGGGAAACTCCAACAGAAACACTTCAGTTCTCTCCACATCTTTCTTTAGATCTATCGTTTGATGAAATGGGAGTGGAATATTCTGGAATTCAGACACCTAATATATGATGGATGGGAAGGTAGTTGCAGCTGGTGAACTGGTGGAAAACTTCAATGATTGAATATGAGTGATAGATATTGACTGTTAGAAACAGTTTTAAGAGTATGTTTTGAATGAATGTGTTTTGAAATTATGTTAAAGCGATAATTGTTGAAATGTCGTACATATGGTGCTAGGAATTTTATGCTGCATATATAATCGAGCAATTTTGTTTTCAATTAGATCGTCATCATGCTTGCTCTAATATACATGAATATTTGTATGAAATCTTTTTAAACCAATCAAAGCAATTTATGAATTTATGATCAAAATGACGAAGATTGCATAATTACACACAATAAGCAAGATGCACAAATTGATGATTAGAGGACAGGTGTACTAGTAGTGATAAGAATAATAAAATAAAAAATGTTATAGTCAATAGTTCAACGTTGGAAGTAGGTCAAACTTGGATTGACAGACTTTAAAATAATAATCATAAAACGTTATTATGATAACATGATAAGAATTGTGTAGATAATTAAATACTGAAGAATACAAACAGAAAGAGGCGAAGGATGAAAAACAAATACGGGATATGAAAAAAGTTAGTAAAAAATTTTATCATATCTGGTCAAGGAATGGATGAAAGTGTCACTTAGTGCTTTCCAACTCATAAACTAGGTTTACGGATCTGGATCCTAATAGTTTTTGGTATACGTACCATACGGGATCGAACTCCACTAGGAAATGACAAAGGTTTACGATAGATCACTCAAAATGACTCGGTTTTATCTATCGTGTTCATTGTCAACCAAGGGTGCCAAGACTGACCTATGTATTGTCTTTGTTCGGCCCCTTTCAAACCAAGTTGGTAGTTGTTCACTCATTCGTTAATTAAGCTTTTTGATAGTACGCCCGATATAACTATCTCCCGAGGAGTGGTTGAAGTTGTAAATGTACATTGAGGAGGCAAAATCAGGTAACTTATCCTTTGTTTGAGTAAATAACACTGGTCTACTAGAAAATATCAAAGTGTA